GCAAGGGAACCACCGCATATGCCCTGCCTTCGTACGAGAGCTAGTGCGCAAGAGAGATCGTTGTCTCTCGCTAGCTCCAAGGGGCCATCGTCGTCCTCAACTTGGTCGAGACGAGGTGTCTAAACCAATGGTGGTATTGCGAGTGGCGTGGGTGCCATCAGCGGCCGCGTCACTGCAGAGACTCGATTCGCTGGCCGCAGACGAGACCCGTGCGTTCTGTGGCCTCGTTCAACTGCAACGTGGGCGATGGTGTAGTATGTTTGCCGTGGGTTTTTAATCGCAGTGCAAAGGGTAGCGTATACAAACTACGAGTCGGCACCGCTTTGGACGCGATTAAAGTTGTCGTTAAAATCAAGACACCTTGCCCATCGACCTTCGTCGTCGTGCGCTGCCAATTGGTTTGCACTTTCCAACTTGCTTTGCCCCGACGACGACTCGATGGGGCGCAAGAAGAGCCAACGCAACAACCCCAAGAAGCGTGCGATTCCGGATGGCCGTTCGGAGAAGGGCCAGCCAACGCCGAACGGCCAGCAAAAACAGAAATCCGATTTTGCGATGTCAACGAGCCCGACGTCGACCAGCGCCCCGACGGCCTCCACGACCTCGTCGCCGCCCACTGCCTCGTCGCCGCCCACTGACGCCGCCATGTCGCCAGCCGCTGTCCCAGCCCCGGTGTTCAGCGTCATGGACGGTGTCATCACGCGCAAAGGCCTTGAGGCAGCTGCCAAAGTCTACCTCGCGCAAGATGAAGACGCGCCCGAGCTTCTCATTGCGAGCAATGTTCCTCTTGTGCACTGGCTTCAGCACGGCTTGGACAACCGCCTCTTCAACGTGTATTGGAGCTGCCGGTTTGAGGGCGACGCAGCAGACCCGACGACGCTGGCGTCCGTCTACATTGTCCGTGCGATTGGAGAGCCGCACCAGGGTGGAGTCGACGAGCTCAAGGAATTGATCACTCCTCAGAGAGGAAACCATTTGATGGTTCGTACGGGCTTCGACCTTAAGCTGCCTGGACAGACGCGAGTGCCCGACTTGGTGGTCTTCCAGCAGTTTCGCGACAGCCAGTGCACCGAGCCGTGCATGGTCGTGGAGCTTGAGCTCATGAACCGCAGCTTTCCGCGCTTGCTCGATTGGCTTCTCGGGTATTTCGCGCTCATCACGTCTCTTCGGACCGCGGTCGGCATCAAGATCTTTGGCCCGCAGGATGGCAACGCTCGTCACTTCGGTGCCGTCGTCGTCATGATTACCTGTATGGATGGCCATGCGCCGCGGCTCGTGTACGTGGCCAGCATCGGCACGGCGCCACTGACAGAGCAAGCTCTGATCGGCATCGTTGGCGTGATTGGACAAGACGCCGCGAATGCGATGCCACACTTTGAAGCCAACATTGCTCACGAGATCGCGCTGGGGCATCGCGAGTGGCAGCTCGATCTGGTCGCTCGCCCCGTGCTGCACATTACGATCGCAGATCTGCTTTACGAGGATACCCACAACCTCCTTGCGGGCGCGCCACCAACGACCGAGCGCCTCGAGATCGATCTGTACAAGGTCATCTCGAAAGTGCACGATGCCATGGGACCACACGATAATGGGATTCGTCCCGCTCGCTCGAGCGTGGTGGCGCCTGGGGCCTTGCCGGGGAGCTTGGCAGCGTCTTGGGCTGCGGCGCTCCGAGCGGCGGCGGCGCTCCGTGCGGCCGCGAATGAAGACCAAGGCGCAGAGGACGATCCTCCGATGGACGAACCAATGGAGTAGATTGGCAACAGCAGTTTTAACGACTCCGATCGAATCGAGTTTGTGTTTGCATGCGATCTTGATTGCCATGGATGTGCTTTTGGTTGTTGTTGCTTTAGTGGGTCCCATATATAAACACGAGTGGGTCCTCTGTTCACAGTGTAGTGGCGCCAGCCTTTCTTTTTTGGTTGTGGATTCGCGGTGGAGGGACGTGGTCTAGGCGGACGCAGACGGAAGCGCGGTACAAGGTGCCGGGCCGGCCACTCGTGTGGAGCAAGAAGCCAAACGAGGTCGCGTTACTCAGGTGGGCGCCTCCTCGTGACGGCAAGCGACCACGGACGTGGTAGATCTAAACGGATGACGCACTCGTTCCGGCCAAACATTGAACGAGACACTGGGCACGGGCCTGCGACGTTTGCTTGGTCCTGTAGTCGTGCTAAGTTGGACGAGGCAAGTCCACCTTGTCGCCGGAACGCGCCATTTCTCTCGACAAAGTAAAACACTGGTGTTATGAGAACACATGTCTACAGCTCGGTGCGGCCCGAGTCGAGGTCCATGACGGCGTTCGGGTTGGGGTGGTACGCTTCGGTCGCAATGGCCTTGCCGCCACCGGCCATCGTGAGCTTGTCCGACTGAATCGTGGTCGGCGCCGCCTGCGAGAGGTCGTCGACGACCTCATTCGAGTAGTTTTCCGTGACCATGTCCGTGAGGCCGAGCACTTCGTTGTCAAAGTCGGAGCGCGTGTAGCTCTCGGCCGTCATGTGCGGGTCTTCGTCCGCGTTGCCAAACGGCGAATAAATGAAGCTGTTGGCGAGCGGGTCTTCAATGATGAGCGTGAACGCCATGCCCGTCTTGAGCTCCTCGAGGCGCCCGAGCCACGTCGCGAGCCCGGACCGGCCGCCGTCGCTGTCGCCGACCGCGAACGGGTTGCCGGACGTGAGGTTGTCGCGGATCTTCTCCAGAAGGCCTTCAATCGTCGTGTACAAGCCGCCGAGCGACCCGGGCATCATTTCAAGGTCCAGTTCAGGAATTTGAACCGACGCCGAGTCGCTCTTGAGGATATCGCGGTCCATAAAGCTCGAGTCCTGTAAAAACGCATAAGATTGATTTCCGACAGCCGCAAGGTGGAGACGTACGTTGGCAGGCACGCGAAGCACGATGCGCTCGCCAAACGGCGGGATCGCACCGCCGGCCTTGACCTCGTTCGTCTTGAAGCCGCAGTGCTCGCAGTTGAACGCCATGATGATGACTTCCTACACATCGCAGCATGGGACTGTCGCGGTATCCACAGAAGACGAAAGGCGCACCTTGAAGTGCGGGATGTCGGTGACGCACATGAGCGACTCGCCGTCCTTGTAGCACGCATGGCACTGCGTCGGGAACCGGATCGCTTCGTGGTTCTTGATGCCGCTGCTCGAGGCCACAAGCGAGTCAAGGCCTTCGTTGCGCGGCGGCACCACCTTGGGCACGTTGGACGGCGTGTCGTGGGCGTGCGACTGGTCGGGCTGGAGGCCGCACTCGAGGTCCTGCGCTTCCGAGCGGAAGAAGTGCGACACGGTGAGCTGCGGGTCGGCGTTGGGCGCGCAGAGGTTTTCAATGTGCGAGTTGCCCGCGGGGTCGGTGACGACGACCGTGAATGGCAGCGTGATGCCGGCTGCCATCAACGCGAGGTTGGCAAGAAACTCATCAATCTTGGCGGTCGTCGCCGGGTCAATGAGGCGGCGCTCTTCCTGGTTGGCGCGGAGGCCCTCAATCGACTTGGAGATGAGGCCTTCGATTGTGTTGATCGTGCCCTGCTGCGTCTTGGCCGGCACTTCAAAGTCGATTTCGGGAAAGTAGACCGACGCCGTGTCCGACTTGATGAGCTGGCGGTTGAGATCTTCGCGGTTCTCGACCAGGAGCTCCATGCGGACGCCCTTCTCCTGGATCGAGCCGCCGAATTGAATCTCGCTGTTCTTAAACCCGCAGTGCTCGCACTCGAACGACATCAAAATGACTTCGCGAAAGTACGGAATGCGCGTGAGGAGGAGCTTGGTCATGCCATTGTCGTAGCAGTTGATGCAGAGGCTTTCGATCTCCGTCACGTTCGGGATCTCGTCGTTGATGTCCGTGAAGAGCGAGTCGCTGTTGCCGTTTTCAATGTCCAAGTGCACGCGCTCGTCCGTGTTGACGGTCGTGCCACCGAGCACTTGCGGAGCCTTGGCCGACATTGCTGTTGAAAAATGGACCGACCCAAGCCAATCGCAAAATCCGCCGCTTTTGATTGGCTTATTTCAACTGGATCGCGACTCGTGATTGGTCCATGTTCTAGAAAAGACGGCCTTCGGTCGATTTCCGATTTTTTTTCGCCAGCGCCACGACCGCGAGGTTGTTGGACGCGCGCATGCGATCCTCGTCGCCAGCGTCGAGCTGCTGCTGCAGAATGGACCGCACCTCCTTGAACGCCGTCTCGGCCTTCTACCGAGACCCGTGAGAGGAGGCGAGGCGCCGGGCAACGATGGCTACCTCGAAGGCGCCCTGCAGGAAATAGCCGCGGCCGAGACCTTCGACCGCATGGGCGACCGCCGGATGCTGTCGACCGTGCTTGGCGGACGTAGCTTCGATCACATGCGTGTAGAGCGTATACGCCTCGTCAAATCGTTTCTAGACGATGGATACGACGATGTCATGACGCTCGGGGACAAGGGCGACGAGGGACCTGGGCGAGATACGTGGCCGCAACGGCTTGTTGGAGGCGGAGGACCTTCTCGTGGTTGCTCCCGTACGTCGCTGCGTAGATGGCGAGAAGGTCGTGGAGGCACGCGTCGGCGAGTGCGTGCTGCGTCGACGACTGCAAGCAGAGACAGAGGTTCTCCAAGCACGTGACTTCGTCCATATTGGTGTGTGTGCGCCGGCTCTGCCCTGCCTTGCTAGTATGTACAATATGTCCAATCAATAAAAGAACATGAATGGCTCGCCGACGCACGCTCGAATCACAGGCAGCGCGCGGTGGAGGAGCGTGACGGCCTCTTCGATGTAGGCTGCTTTGGGTGGCACGGCGAGCTGCTGCACATGGTACAAGAGCTCGGCGAGGTTGTTGCGCAGGACGGCTGTTTCCAAATGGTCGTCGCCGTAGTGGAGCTCGCTGATGGCAACGGCGCGGCGCAACGAGGTCATGGCGTCGGCCTCTCGCAAGTGGTCTCGGTAGAGCGACGCGAGCTTGGTGAGCGTCGCAATGATGCCTGTACATCGTTCTTCGTACCACGCGCGACTTCAAGGAGACGGTACCGGGGTGTTCACAGCCCAATGTGGCTTCTTTGGATTGGAGCGCGCGTCGTTCAAGAAAGATCATCTCAGGCTCGGCCAAAAGGGCGATGTCGTCAGCGGTTTTGAACGCGGCAATGCGTTGTGCCTTGGCCTCCCGTTCTAGCCACAACGTGCTACGCATGTTTTCGTGAGTTGGTTGAGCGAGTTTACCTTGCATGCTCAGCTCGATGGGGCGCCACGACTGGAGCAGCTTGCGAATGTCGGCGTGGTCCATCGCTGTCGCCATGTCCAGCGCGGTCGCCTTCTCCTATTTGACTCTCCGTTGTAGAGTGCTGACAACATGTATAGAGGGTACGTGGTTGGGACACAGCGTGTCGGCGCCACCTTCTAGAAGCAACATTGCGCACTCAAAGCTGCCATACCCCGCGCACAAATGCAGCGGCGAGTTGCCATTCTAAACGCATCGCATCGATTGCAAGCAGTGACGAGGTCGTAGTGTAGACCTTGTCCTGTGCATCAGGGTTGGCGTGGTGCTCGAGGAGCACCTGAATGACGTCCGCGTGGGCGTGCCGCGCTGCGTAGTGCAGCGCTGTCCATTGCATGTGCTATTACGAACACCATGATGGCGTGACCTTCATGATCCTATCGTACCGGCTCGGCCACGTTGACGTGCACGCGGCCCTTCTCGAGGAGACAGCGCACGCGGTCGGTCTTGCCATGCTCGGCCGCATACCAGATCGTCCAAATGTCTTGCTTGGTGGCCTCGAGGATCGCGCGCCGGTCCTTGGCCCGCGCCAGTTTGCCCATGTTGCCAGTTTGCACTTTCCTGAAACGCCAAATCGGTTTTGCATGACATTCCTGTGCATTTTTAAGCAAAATGGTACGCTAACCCGATAAATCGCATAGTTAGCTTATAGCTTATTGATGCATATCTGGCTGCCTCGGTCGTGGTCTCGGCGAATCTTGCGGCATCCGGCGACCATCCGGATACGTGGCCCCGTTGACACTTGCAACAATCAGCGATGGCAACGAGCAGCGTCTTCCTCGAACGCCGGTTCCTCGAGAAGAGCCGACGCAAGAAGCCCGGCAACGTCAAGGTCGCCGAGACGTACCTGCGTAACGACGTCCACTGCGCGCTGGCGCCATGCCGCGTGTGCCAGCGCGCCGAGCTGCTCCCACCGGCCGCGGTCGTGCGGGCCGCCGCGCCGTACATCCTCGTGCCGGACACGACGGCCTTGGCCATGTACCTGGACCTGCTCGAGCACGAGGCTTTCGGCGCCAACCAGCTTCTCTTGCTGCAGACGGTGCTGGAGCGGACGCTAGACGTGGCGTCGTCGCGTGAGGTCGGCCGCATCGAGGCGTGGCTCGACGAGACGTCCGAGAAGGCGCAGCTGCACACGGTCGGGTACTTTCCCAACCGCCACGTCGCACAGACCTTTGTGCCCACGCGCGTGCACGCGACGAGCGGCTACGTCGACCAAGAGAGCTTTGCGGAGCGCGATCGCCGCGCGATTCTGCGCACGATGCAGTGGTACCTAGCGCACTCGATGAGCGCCTCGTTTCTCGTCTTGTCCGAGGACCCTGCGCTCACGTCGGCGCTCACCTCGCTGAATGCGCCGCGACTGCGCGTGCTCTCGTGCCGCGACTACATGGAGGCGCATTGCCCGTCCTCGGAGCTGCGGGCCCTCGCGTCCGAGCTCGCGCTGGCGTTCGAGAGCCGGCGCGGCAACAAGGCGAGCGAAGGCGCGTCGTACACCGACCTTGCGACGCTCCCGGCGGCCGCCTACCACGTCGGTCGGCTCCGCGTGAGCGCGCACCACCCGCTCGAAGCGTTTGTCAAGACGAAAGCAGGCGACGAGCTCTTTGTCTACGGCCGCGACGCCATGAACCGCGCCGTCCACGGGGACCTCGTGGCCGTTCAGCTGCTGCCCGAAGCCGACTGGCTCCAGCCCGAGTCCAAGACGACGCTCGTGCATGTGGCCACCGACGATGTCAAGCGTCTCGCGCCGGCGGGCCGCGGCGTCCCGACCGCCCGGGTCATCAACGTCACGGAGCGCTCGTCGCAGCTGGTCACATCTTCTCCTGCTGGTCATGACACGTTTATATTAATGGTGGACGATGCGATCTAGATCGTTGCGACCATCCTGTCCAACACGGTGGTGGCCGGTGACGACTATGTCATCGCCGTGCCCATGGACTTGCGGTACCCCAAAGTGCGTCTCCGCACGCTCAATGCGTCCGAGCTGGTGGACCACCGTCTCACGGTACGACGACGCGTGCACGCACGGCAATCCTGCGATCGTCCAACGATGCGCTCCACTAGATTGCCATCGACGACTGGCCGCTCGACTCTTTCTACCCGTCGGGCCACTATGTCCAGATCCTCGGGCCCGTGGGCGACCTCGAAACCGAGATTCGCGCGCTCCTCGTGCAGCACGCAACGCACGCGACGAAGTTCAGCGAGCGGTCACTCGCCTGTTTGCCCGACGTCTCGGACGTTGACTGGGACGCCGTCGCCATCTGCGACACCTCCAAGCGGCCCAAGGTGCCCCTCACGCGTGGTAGAACCCTCGTCTCGTCTCCGGCAGAAGTCCAACCTTTTTGTTGTTGCTGCTATAGAGTGGACGATTCCAAGCGCAGAAGTCGCGTCCCGGCGGGACTTGCGGCAGACGCACCGCGTCTTGAGCGTCGATCCGCCGGGCTGTCAGGACATTGACGACGCCATGTCGGTCCGGAAACTGCCCAACGGACACTACGAGCTCGGCGTGCACATTGCGGACGTGGGCCACTTTGTTCCGTTCGACTCGGCGCTCGACAAGGATGCCCGACACCGCGCGACGACCGTCTACCTCGTCGACCGACGCTTCGACATGTTGCCCGTGCTCCTCAGCGGCGACCTCTGCTCGCTCCACGGACAAACCGACCGGCTTGCGTTTAGCGTCTTCTGGGAGCTCGACGCCGACCTCCGCATTCTACCCCACCGCACGACCTTTGCCAAGACGATTGTGCACAATGTCGCCGCCATGACGTACGGCCAAGCCGATCGGCTGCTCTCGGACTTGCCTGCCAACGACCCGCTCGACACGAAAGTGGTCGGCGAAGGCACGGCGGGGCGGCCAATTGCGTCCCATCTGCAGCCGATGCTGCGGGACGATCTCAAATTGTTGCGTGCCATTGGTCGCCGCCTCTATGCGCAGCGCGCGGCGACCGGCGCGGTCGACTTGACGCAAAGTGGCGAGCTCAAGTTTATGATCACGGGCGAGTTTGACTGGCGCGTCGAAATCAAGGAGAGCCTCGAGATCCACGGCACGATCGCCGAGCTCATGATCCTCGCCAACGCCACGGTCGCGACGCGGCTCGTCGACTGCTTTCCCAAGACGGCGTTGGTCCGTCGCCACGTGCCGCCGTCGGGCGACCGCTTCAAGTCGCTTCTCGCGCTCGCGGCAACGCAGCAGCTGTCCTTGGACACGACGAGCAACATGACACTGCAGGCGTCCCTCGATGCGGTCGCGACGAGTGTCGATGCCGATACCCTCGCGCTCCTCAAGTCGATGGCGACGCGCGCCATGTCGGAAGCCGAGTACATTGTCGCGTCCGAAGCCGTCGGCGGCTTTGCCCACTACGGCCTCGGTCTCTCGCACTATACGCACTTTACGTCGCCGATTCGCCGGTACGCCGACCTCGTCGTGCACCGGCAGCTGCTCGCGACCTTGGCACCGACGACGACGACGGCCGTGGCGACCAAACCGGTGCGGGCCGTTGCGTCACTGGTCCTGCCCGCGTCCTTGACGCCGTCCGTTCTGGACTCTAAATACGTGGCGCCGGCACCGCTGCTGCCTCCGACGCCCGTGACGCCAAGCATGGCACGGACCGAGACGATGACACTGACGGACCCGATGGCGACGACCGACTTGGTGCCGCAGAGCCAGCACATGAACGTGCAGAACCGCAACGCGAAGAACGTGGCGCGCGCGTGCGAAGAACTCTTCCTCGCGCTCTACTTTCAGTCGCACTCGACGACCGTGAACGCGGTCGTGACGCACCTCAAGCAGAACGGCCTCCTCGTCTTCATCCCGCAGTTTGACGTGCGCGGGCCCGTGTACCTCAAGGACCGCGACGGCGCCGTGCACGTGCATGCGTCCATGGTCCCGCCCCACGGCACGCTGCCGGCGCGGCCCGGTTTCGACCCGTCGGCGCGCGAACTTCCATGCGCGACTTTGCGTCTTGTCGAAGACACGTCGCTGGTAGTGCAGTGGCGCGGCCGTGACGTCGTGACGTTCACGCCGCTCATGGAGATCCAAGTCACCGTCACGTGTGATTTCACGTCGGCGTCGGCGCGGCTGCCGGCGCTGCGGCTCTCGCTCGCCTCGGCGACCGCCGCGTCCTCGCGCTCGACACGCGATGTGGTCGCCGAGGCGGTCGCGGCCTTGCAACCGACGCCGACCCTCGGCTCGGAAGCGACGGCCACCGAGGTCTCGGCGCGACTGGACAAGCTGCGCGTCTCGTTCCGTGTGAGCTTGTACGACGCTCTGTCGACCGTTCCCACGATCGCGCCGAAAGCCAAGACAACGACGACGACCAAGAAGGGCACCAAGGACAAGAAGGCGCCGGGCCGCGTCATCTTTAACGGGTTTGAGCCGCCGGTGCCGAAGAAGTTCAACAAACTGCTCACGGCCCACTACGAAGGGCGCAGCGCCGAGCTCGAGGCGGCGATGAACATTGAGCGGGGCGCGATCGTCGATGTGAGCGCCAACAGCGCCAAGCGCTACGAGATGGAAGCTGTCCGGCGCATGGAAAAGCTGCAATCCGAGAAGCGCCACGACCGCATCAACAGCCGCAAAAAGGCCAATCACTAGCCATCTAGTATCAAGTTGATACATGGATAATATCAAATCAAGTCGTGTTATCAAGCGCTTAGAGTTCCGTCGACGCAGAGTTGGCCGGCGACTTGGGCGCGGCGACCGCGCTAAAGCCTTGGGGACCGACGTCGCCACGCGGCGTGAGGTCCTCGCCGAGCCCGCGCTTCTGCATCATCGAGACAAACTCCTCAAAGCTGATCTGGCCGTCGCCGTTCGAGTCGATCTCGCTCATGACCTCTTGCGCGTGCTCTTCGCTGCCCATGAAGCGAATCAAATCGTCCTTGGTGATCATGCCCTGCTTCTTCGTGTCAAAGTAGTTGAACGCTATAGGCCATCATCAATCTCACCACTTCAAGTCCCGCGTCGACGTACCGTTGACAAGGTATTCTTCCTTGTTGAAATCGTTGCGCTTCATGGTCGCGGCCAGAAATTCATTGTAGTCCTAGACAAGGCATACCGTTGGCCATGGCTTCATAGAGACATTGTACGTACGAGGTTGCCGTCGCCGTCAATGTCGAGGCCCTGGAGCAGCTGGAGCACTTCGCTCTCGAGCATACCGTGGCCCATGTCGCGCACGGCCGCGCCGAGCTCTTGCATGGTGATGACGCCGTTGCCGTCGGCGTCGATCATCGCAAACGTCTTCTTGAGCTCGTTGATCTCGGCGCCCGTCATCTGGTCGGCAATCACGGCCAGCGCGACCTTCTTGAGCTTGTTGTGGCCCTGGAAGCGCTTCAAGCTCGTCATGATGTTGGTGTTGAGCGACCGCTCGACCGCCGGCGCCGCGCCCATGAGCCACGGGTGCTGCAGGGCCTGCTCGGCCGTGAGGCGCTTGGACGCGTTGAGCAGCAAGAGGTGGTCGATGAGGTCCTTGGCCTCCTTGGAGACACCAGCCCACTCGGGCGTGTCGTACGAGTACTTGCCCGAGCGCACGGACGCAAAGATCTCGGGGTCGCTGTCGCCGTAGAACGGAGGGTACCCGCAGAGCAAGATGTACGTGATGACACCAATGCTCCAGAGATCGCACGACTTGTCGTAGTGGCGGCCAAGCACCTCGGGCGCTGCATCGCGCAGGTTAGCCACAAGCGCATGAAAGAGAGAAAGGATGTACCAATGTAGTACGGCGTGCCGACACGCGTCGTCATGTACGCGTCGCCGCCCGCCGCGTCCATGCGCGAGAGGCCAAAGTCGATGACCTTGAGCTCCGCGCTCTCTTCTTTCGTCTCGAACAAGAAGTTTTCGGGCTTGAGATCACTACGCCAACACCATGAGATGACGAAGGGTACGAAGGATGTTGTGTACCGATGGCAGATGTCGCGGTCGTGGCAGTGCTTGACCGCATCGAGGATCTTGCGCACGAGCTTGGCCGCGTCGGCCTCGGTATAGTGACCGCGCGAGATGATGCGGTCAAAGAGCTCGCCGCCCGTGCAGAGCTCCGTGACGAGGTGCAAGTGGCGCGCGTCCTCAAAGACATCGAAGAGCTTGATGATGTTGGGGTGGCTGACCGACTAGATGATAGACACGCGATATGAGCATCGCCAAGAGTAGAGTCTGGCGTATACGCGAAGGATCTCGATTTCGCGCTTCAACGTCTCGGGGCGGCTGACCTTGACCTTGGGGATCGTCTTGATCGCGACGCGCGCGCCCGTGACCTTGTGCGTACCCACGCGGACCGTGCCGTAGTGGCCATGGCCCAACTCCTTCTTCTCGACGTTGTAGACGGAAAAGACATCGCCGAGATGGCCCGTGATCTAGCGAGGCCCGTGTCAACTATGCATCCTAGCATGGCACGTTACG